GAAATTTAAAAATTTTTTTATCATGGAAACAAAAAATCCAAAAAGCAGAAAAATTATTTTTCGACATCTTTTTTCCTCCAAATTTTCTTGGATTTTTATTGGTAAAAATTATTAAAGCTTGACAACAACCAAAACAATCTATTAGATACATTTATTCTATCACTGTTTGCGCATGTTCCCTTCCTTCCACCGGCTATTCAAGGACCTTTTTTTTCAGGAATTGGCAAGGCAAGACTTGGTCACGGCGATGTTCGCCGTCGTGCGTACTCAAGCTGTGAATGAAGCTCCCAAAATTCGAATTTTGAGTATTCAACCTGTGAATTCGATAATTCTGAAGCCACAAACCATCCCTTCTGTCTTTTCTGGATGATTCACTTACTGTCTTCTCTCAGGATGCCTTCAGATGATGCCCAACACCATCGTTGAAAAGACTTTAGAAAGAAGACTTTTCTAAAGTCTACAGAAATGATTTTGGAAAAGTTTCAGCATTCCTGAATCGCAGTAGAAGCTAGAGCATTGTAGAGCGTGTAGCAAATTCTCCGAGCTTATTCGTAGGCATTCTGACTAATTAGGAAGGCGACGTAATGTAGTTGTCGAGAATGGACTTTTTCCCTGTTTGATTTTTCAAATTTGATGCTGTAAAACTTTTTCAAGTCATCTGATGTAGAAAACCGAGATGGAAGTTTTAGTTGAGAAAGCTTAGAGGTTTCAAACGCTTATAAATAATTTACAGACCATCGCGCGAAATATTGAGAAAAAATCGAAAGAAAAAATGGGACAGAACTTATTACACAACCTAATATAACAGGAAATTTCGCATGATTTTCCGTTACTTTATTATTCAAAATTCTGATTCTCGGCGGTTATTCCCTGGATCGACTTACTTTTTTCGCAGTATGTCGTGACAAATTTTACTTGATAAAGTCCGTACAGTTCCGCTGAGTTTTATTTCCAAATATACCATTTGATAAGCACGTTTATTTTAGATATTTGCCGCTGAATACCTAAATGCTTCCAGTGATCTCTTTTGCATTTGTTTTGCTTATTCTCCGCGCACTGGCGGCAACGACTTAGGCCCGTATGCACCAACATTTTTGCGGCGAGGGGAGCGGCGTCCCCCGTTATGAAGGGACCGCGTGCGGACGCCGCTCCCCTCGCCGCAGGGATGTTAGTGCATGCGGCCCTTAGAAGAATAGGCTCAGTCGACGTTAACGCTCCCCCTCCCCCCCCCCCCCTCCCCTCCCGTCGACGTTATTGGGAGGTGAGTGTCCGGCACTACCACCTTCACTTTTGGCGGCCAGTGGTAGCCGGGACCACCTTCACTTTCGGGGGGCCCGGCTCCCCCCATCACACCTCTGATCATGACGCTCAAAGTGAAGGTACCAGAGTACATGGCTCTATGTATTGAAGGTATGATTCCTAGTGAACCCTCGGCACCGATATGTAGAGGGGAAACTCTTGTGTTTTTCTAATAAATCGTCAACGCAACGACAGGGCTCGGCACGAGCTGGCACCAAGGAACTTTCAAAACGAAGTCCCGTTTGATATCGAAAATTTCGTACGAAGTTCCTTTTGACCTGTTTTGAAAACCCGTCATCATTTTTATATCATGTAAAAAATGTAGTAGTGTTTTCATGCATTTCTGATTTCATTAAAGAACTTTTTACAGCTTTCTGAGCTTTTTAAGTGGTCGAATCACATCTTGAGAAACAGAAAAAGCCGATTTTTCGACGGCGGAGCGGACCGAGTGGTTTTTAAATTGCTATAAAACGCTGAAAAGAGAACATTATGAAACTGTTTCTTCTCCGTATGTAATCTTTTACAGTGTAGATGAATTTTATGTAAAAAAGTATGAAAACTTATGTGAGCAAAGTGTCGGTGCCAGCTCAGCTGGCACCCAGCTGGCACGGTGCCAGCTAATTCAGAAAAAAGTTGGGCACAGCTTTCATTCACATAAGTTTTCATAAATTTTTGGTCCGTAGTTCTGGTCCACCAACGCGCATGCACACACCAAATTTGGTGTCATACTATTGCGTTTTGGCTGAAAACAACGCCTTTGTTTGTTGATGGACAGCTTGCCAATGGCATGCCGGTGGCATGCCGGCGGCATTTTTGCGGCAGTTCTCCGCCTCGGCCCCTGTAGAAACGATATCCCCTTTGCTTTCCGCGCTAAAAACGATATCCAGCTTGACCCGGTGCCAGCTGTGCTGAGCCCTGCTCAACGAGTTCCACATCACGAGTTTTGCCCGGAAACTGCCTTTAAAGAGTCTCCTTGTATCGCGCTGCGCACTTTGGAAATAAAATTGAGCGTTAAGATAACAGAAGCTTCTTTAGTTACCAATAAATCTGTTGACTTTCATGCAATAATCTATACTTTCTATTAGGTTGTCCGGAAATCAATGCAGGTTTTGATTTCTAGCCGCAATAAGTCATACATTTCTCATTTTTGAATAGGTTGCAAGGTACTGTTCGATAGAGCAAAGCAAGCTCTACAACTCAGACACTGGGACCGGACGATCCGCGGCCCATTTCCGGCTGGAATTTCGCAGCGTCCGCGGGCCAGCCGGTGAATGGTCCGCGGCTCGGCCGGAGAAGGGCCTCGGCTCGTCCGCTTTTGGGCCGCGGCTCAGCCGGAGCTGGTTGTCGGGCCGTCTAGTTCATCCAGCTCGGATACAGTAGAACTGTTTTTTTATTCACTGGCACTTAGAATTACACAGTAAAAAAACAAAAATTGAAGCCACGTATATAGCGGCTTCGGGTACCAAGTCCAACTTCAACGTTGGACAACAAAGGTGCTATCCAAGGATGTACAACATATTGACCTTGTTTCGCCTTGGAGACTGGAAGGACATCGAAGGCTATGGACGCTAAGGGCAGCCTGATCATGCGTCGTACATCACGCAAGTATTCTTTGTGCTCAGATTCTGGGAGCGGCCGAGCCGCGGACCTTATCTGATATGGGCCGCGGCTCGGCCGGAGTTTCATTATAAAGATTTTGGTCCGCGGCTCAGCCGGTGCAGTGCTCCACCCCCATCATTAAGGCCGCGGCTGAGCCGGTAAGCCATATTCAGTCCGCGGCTCGGCCGGTGCTATGATAGTGACATGAATTAAGGTCCGCGGCTCGGCCGCACTCCGGCCACGCCCACAAATTAAGGCCGCGGACGGGCCGGAAAGGCCTTTTGAGGCCGCGGCTCGGCCGGTCCCAGTGTCTGAGCAAGATGGCTATCTTGCTTTAGCAACAGCTCTGATCCACCACGAGTTTTGAGCTAAAAACTAAAAAGATTCAATTGCACGAAAATTGAGAAAAATCGTAACTCAGTTCATAAAAATCCTACAAAAATTCTAACTCGCTCACGTTAACGCTATCCACATAAGGCATCTACATACGCCGTTGCCGTATTTTTTTCTGTTAGAAATCAGGAGAACGGAAATTTTCGTCCATTTGCTAAAGTGGTGCTGTGCCGTTCGCACATAGGTAGTTGCAAACTACAAACCTTTAGAAGTACAAACGTAAATTTCCAGCTCTCTACAAGCTTCGCGAGAAATTTGAATTTTAGCTTGGACCACCTGACCAGGGAAAGCTATATTCGATATTTATCAAGAACCAAAGCTTGTAGAGAGCCGGAAATTTACGTTAGTACTTTTAAAGGTTTGTAGTATACAACTACCTATGTGCGAACGGCACAGCACCACTTTAGCAAATGGACGAAAATTTCCGTTTTCCTGATTTCTAACAGAGAAAAAATACGGCAACGGCGTATTTAGATGCCTTATGTGGATTGTGCTTACGTGAGCAAGTTAGAATTTTTGTAGGATTTTTACGAACTGAGTTACGATTTTTCTCAATTTTTCGGGCAGTTGAGTCATTTTAGTTTTTGGCTCGAAACTCATGGTGGATCAGAGCTGTTGGTAAAGCAAGATAGCCTTCTTGAGAGCTTGCTTTGCTCTATCGAATGGTACTTTGCAACCTATTCAAAAATGAGAAATATATGACTTATTGCGGTTGGAAATCAAAACCTGCATTAATTTCCGGACAACCTAATAGGTAATCAAAAAGGAAAGATATAATGTACTCAATTTGAGAACACCTCCGGTGAACTCCATCATCGTTCAGGCTTCTAAAAAATATCACTTGTTCCCAGTCATTGCTGAAATTTGCTTCGGTACATGTACATCCAGTAGATGCTGTAGTTGAAAGTGATTACACTCGTTTTTTAGCATAGAATTCTGCTACAGCACCGAACCAAATAAACAACTCAAGAAAATTTTGTGCTAGTAAAAGTACTTCTCCTTTAATAAATACTTTACTTGCAGATTTAAGTAACTCGAGCATGGAAAATGAATCTCCAAAGGATCCGATGGAAAAAGAAGTTACGTGGGATGAAAAGTTTATACTAGAGTGGTTCGGGTATTTGTTAAAACCTTTGCTCATGAGCTGCTATGAATATTTTCAATCTTGGGTTGAGATGTTTCGTGGAGACTCTTCCAAACGGAACATTTACCTCGAAGATTTTTGCGGAGATGATGGTTACGATAAGAACTTGACGGATCACTTGGCTGACTATATAGCAGCAACTTCATTGAATACAACGATGATTTTACATTCTATGTCTGGTTTTTGTTTATGTAGAGCCACCGAAAAGTGTTTGAGGGCAAATTTTGCACCAACGGGCTGCAAAACAGTTCGTCATACGTCAAAATACAATCTAATGACTATTTGTTTCAAAAAAACTGAGATTACGCAAACAGTTCCAAAAACGACTTCAAAGTCAAGTACGCGGACTACTATCGGACTACTTAGCACTACAAAAGCGAAGGATTCACAACTCCCAAGATCTTCAACCAGCCACAACAAGGACACGACAACAGCAACAACCACATCCATCGTACGCTCTGATTGTACACAATTCATTGATGCAACTTCCTCTTCACGCCAACAAAGCGTGGCTGTGAGTTCGACTACCGCAAGCACCACGAAAAATGAAATGAATTCTTCAACCATGGAAAGATTTTCAAGCACATTTTCCATTTCGCCAACCTATAGCACCCTCTCTAGCGAGCAAACCGATATGGGTACTGAGGAGAACTTGACAGGTGTTGCAGCTGGTGATACAGCTTCATCGGGCACTTCAATTGGAACATTTTCAAACGATTTTGAGCCAAGAACGGAATCAACTTGGTCGGAAGACGATTACACTTCTAGCAGTGAGATATTGAGTGAAGTTACACAGTTTCCAGCCACTGACACAAGCGATTCTAAGCAAAGAGGAAAGATTGGAACAATTTTTGACACCTTGGATAACCAAATGACATTGAAGACAAGGTCCGGAGCGTTCACGACAGTGTTGGGTAGTGGATATGCCGATTCCACTAATCCCTTTTTTGATTCACAAGATGGAATTATCTCTGAAATTGGAGCAAGTATCACGATAGGGGAGTCTTCGGAGTCGTCAAGGAAAATTACTGAGGAAGAAGAAGAGAACATAACATCGGAATCAACTTATGAGGAACACACACTGGCAACTGAGAAGCTTAAGGAAAAAGAAGAGGAGAAACAGAGACCACCAATGACGAGTACACTGACAACAAATGAGAATCGTCATGTAACACATGCTTCTTCTTCTTCTGCTTTTACAAGAAAAGAAACCACTAAAACCTCAACTTCGGAAGCCTCTAGTCAACTAGAACTGTCTGACAAACCTTTGTCTCCAAAAGTAGACTCTACATGGACGGACATCAGCGATTTCTACTTGTCAACAAATCAGGTGTACACAAATACACTGGAGGACATTAACCCAAACAAGGGTTCAACTCACTACAACTTAGAGGATACGGTAACTGCGATATCCACGTCATTGTATGAAAGACAAGAGATAAGCACTGAATCTGCTACTCCAATTGCTGGTCAAAACACCGAAGCCACAAGCACAGCGGAGAGCCGAAGTTTCTATCCTCAAGCGACATCGATATCACAGGAACCTTTAGAGGATGTTACCAGCCTAGGCAGAAGTGAATACTTGGATTCCGAAGCAAGACTGACGTTAAAAGGGCCTACTCATAATCCTGTGACCGGAAGCAAGGAAGTATCTATCGATTCACATGCGACTGAGACGGAGTCTTCAAATTACGAAGAAACGGCTACGACAAAACTCGAAGGAGAAAAAAGTCGTACAAAACGTACGGATCTAATTACTAAGACTTCAAAATCTCTAATTACTAAGACTTCAAAATCTAAGTTCGAGTCAACAACATCTTCTCATTCACTCGCACAAACCCTTTCTACACCTGAATTTTCGGTGGAGAATATCAACTCAACGACCGGCATAGCGGACAAAAGAGAAAAAACGACAATTTCAACCATAGGAGAGGTAAGAAGCAATCCAACAAGAGCAGTGGATGTAAACAGCAAACTTCAAAGTTCTACATCACAAGGGCCTACATCTTCCTCCTTCCAACAAAATTCGATAACACCTTCCGCATCAGAATTTTCGAGAGGACATAGTTATTTGGTAGCTATAATCACTTCAACAAACGCTGATTTTGCTTCGTCGGTTACGGAAGAAGGTGATGGATCAGAATTTGTAGAGGATGTAACCAGCGAAACCTCCTCACCCATCTCAGAGAACAAGGCACCGGCATCATATCATACACCGGCAGCAACACCATCTGCGAGTGAAACTTCGATCGTTAACATTCTTTCAGAGGCTACAATCATTGACAGTAGTACTAACACAGATTTCTTATCTTCGCTTACCAAAGAAGGTGCCAGCACACCACTACAGGATGCAGCCAGCGAAACTCCATCACCCACCTCGATAAACAAGCGAACGGCATTATCATATCATACAACGGCAGCAACGCCTATTGCGGGTGACACATCAGAAGTCAGCACTTTCTCTGCGCCATTTGTGGACAGCAATACTAGCGCAGATTTCTTGTCTACGCTCACCGAAGAAAATACCAGCACACCATTACAGGATGCAGCCAGCAAAAAGCCATCATCTATTTCTACGAACTCAGAGGCATCATCATATCATACAACGACAGCAACTCCTTCTGAGAGTAAAACTTCGATCGTTAACATTCTTTCAGAGGCTACAGTCATTAACAGTAGTACTAGCACAAACTTTTTGTCTATGCTTACCAAAGGAAGTACCAGCACACCGCTACAGGTTGCAGCCAGCAGAACTCCATCGACTATCTCAGTAAAGAAGTCAGAGGCACCATCATATCATACAACTGCTTCAAGGCCTTCGGCGAGTAACACTCCGACCGTTGACAATCTTTCAGAAGCTACAGTCATTGAGAGTAGTACTAGCACAGATTTCTTGTTTATACTTACCAAAGTAAGTACCAGCACACCACTACAGGATGCAGCCAGCAAAACGCCATCACCCATTTTTAAGAACTCAGGAGCATCATCATATCATACAACGGCAGTAACGACCCAACCTTCGAGTGACACGTCAAAAGTTATCATTTCCTCGAAAGCTATAGTCAGGGGAAGTAGCGCCACAGACTTTTCGTCTAGGCTCATCGAAGAAAACATCGGTACATCTACAAAGCATGTAACCAGTGAGAACCTATTACCTATCTCGAACGAGCCATCTATACACTTCGATCATACACTAGGAATAGCCTCTCCTAAGATTAAAATCTCTACAGGATTTACTCGTCATAAGGCTACAATCACAGGCACAGGCAGGAAAACCAGTATGGAACTGCTTGAGACCAGCACATCTGAGTATCGAGAAACTACAACGTCCGCCATATCAGATGAATCTGATGATATGGCTTACATATCGAACACTGTAAGTACGGCAAGCTCTCAAATGGTTCGCACAACAACTCCAACACTCAACTCAATGTTGTTTACCAAATCTAATTCTGCACAAAGCGGCTCATTTTCAGTGAGAAAAATACCTGCCAGTTCATCTTTGCCTAGCACCTATACGACCAATGGAATGTTAACTTCCTCAGCGGAAGAATTCGCAGCTTCAAGCATAGGAACTGAATTGGTGTCACCTATGACCGATTCCAAAGAGCTGGGCAGGATGAACCCGGACACAACCGCCTACACAACGGAGTTAATGTCATCAAGACTGCTCAATTCGAGGCCTTCGAGCGAATTCTATTCAAGTGATACAAGCAAAGCGTACGATGTTTCTTCTTCTTCGCAGACAGAGAAAGATACGACTTCTGCTTCCAGTTCAGTGGGAACAACGGACTTTATCTCAACAGGGGCCTTCTCAACAGATGATAAACATTCTACATCGATGCCCTTCACAAGCACCATCACTTCTGGTCTTAATTCAACAAGACTGTCAGAAAGGCTTAGTTTTCTCACCACAGCACTACTTTGGCTTTCAACTGCATATTTGAAGACTCAAAGTGATTACAACGCATCTTCTTACTTTGCGACTAACCATTCGACAACAGCCAGAGGACGTACATACTTTACGCCTTCTGCAGCAGAAATCACTATTCCAGTCTCTACCGAGGAGACAAGCCATTCCTTTTTACAGGAACTATTTACGAGCGGACTAAATACAATATCCCAGCTCCTGCAAAGCTCATCGAACCTATCGCGAAAGTTTCAGACAACCACAGCAGTGTTGAAAAGTAGTAATGACCTCACAGAACGCTTCGTACAAGTTGATAATCAATCTCGGTTAACATCCTCAGAGATGGCAGGAACTTCGACTTTTCCAGCTCTTCCACACCGCAAGCCAACACATTTGATAAAAGATACAACCACGGAAAGGTGGACTACTGAATTAGGTAGTAAAATCTTGATGATGAATGCATTGTTTTACAGAACATCTAATTTCAGCGCAAAGAGATCGATGTGCATCTCCATGTCCTTCTGACTACGAACAAGGAAAAGAGTTCTGTTATAAAGTCCTTCATGCGAAAAAGTCGGTAACGTACAGAAGAGTGAGTTTTGGGAGCCTAAAGCAGATTAAATTTTGCAGCAAGTTCATCAACAATATAGTGATTTTAGTAATTTGAACCTCCGGAATTGACCGCGTAAAATGAACCTTAATTAGTCTCTCTTCTGAAAAATTGATTTGCGGTCATTGACAAAAGATGACCCTATAGTAGCAACAAAGAGCTGAACATGTCACACAATTTCCAGTCAAAAGCATTTCCGTGCTTTTACACGAAATAAGAGTTTTTAGCTGTCTCAGAGATACTCATCGACGCCATGTTTTCAGTATCAAGTATCAACCAATTATGCTTAGCAGTGCTGAGAAACTGTACTAAAGCTCTTGCATATTGAAGGTTACCGAGGTTTTGCATATTAAACTCCTGCATATTTTGAGCCTTTCGTGAGATAGAACTCAACTCCGATCTTCAAATCGGGTAAAATATTGTTATTAGGGCATTCACCCCTTTCGAAAAAAAAAGCTTGAACGAGAGTTTACATGAAAGCCAAAAAGTCCTTGAGAGGAAAATTTACCGCCTGTAATTCTTGCTCTGGAAGGTATGCAATACACTTGGGGAAATTCGAGTTTTTTTTTTCGAATATTCGAATATCGAATATATTCGAAAATCGAAAATTTCGAATATTTGAATATCGAATATCATTCGAATATCGAATATCATTCGACTTTCGAATATTTCTCGATTTTCGAATATCATTCGAAAGATTGAATGTCTATGTGATATGATAACATGGCCAAGCGCGTAGTTTGCAAGTACTGTGGATCTTTGTAGTTTCCTTTGATGCTACTACTACTCTGCAGTGCAAGAAGTATATCTCAGCCCGCTGCGCGGACTCTTTACATCCAGCCCGTTAGTCGAACTCGACGATACACTTATAATATACACCTTGTTGAACTGTATAAGTGCTCTACACATAGTTTTGAATCGGCACTCATGGCAGTATGCAATCTTCCTCACATTGGCAGAGCGATAAGTTAGACCGCTCCCTGAAGAACTATACAATGACTGGCTCTCCCATATCCCTCTTCTCACTCTACAACAAACGACGAACTTCTTGACCCAACACCAGTCCTTCTGGTCTCTAGTGCAATTACCTTGAATACTCCTTCGATTTACGATGCCGAGTGGATGTAATTCTGCGACGATATCGCGAACATCTTCACGTTCACGTTCACATCTAACATTTTCCGAATGCGAATGAAGAAGAGCTTGCATTAGATCTAGGCTCATTAACAAAAGCCAACAGGTCAGTTTCCTAAGCTTTGATGTTTTTTGGAAGGTACTCAAAACTTTAGTACATCAAGAAGTTCCAGGGTCGGTAGTAATCTGGTCGAAACTCAGCTACTCTGACTTAACTCCGAGTTATATCTGAGTTAACTCATTGACGACAACGTGACCCACATAGTGGGTCACGCAATGACTGCCACGTGGAACAATCGCCCGTAGTAAACCCCTATCAGGGCATCTCTCTTGAGGCGTGCCTAGTTGATCTCATCGCGTCTCAGCACATTGCCAGGGGAGCGATTAATTTGGAACAGATCACTTACTGGATGTTTGCGTTTTCAAAGGTGGAAACGTTTCTGCCATTTGTGCATCTTTAGTCAAATGGATAAGTATAATGCGTTTCAAGCGGCAGGCCGTGGTTCGAGTGCGGCTAGCGACACCATTTTTGCTATTTGGCCTGGCGGCCGCTGTCGAAAAAATCGATGATAGCCGCTATCAGAGATTTCACCTAGCAAACAACGAGATAAAACAAATACGCAATATTTTGGCATTCATACAAAGAAAAATTACACTTGGAGAAAAATGAATAGAAAGGTAAATTTACTTTCTCTTTATCTGAAGCGGTTCACTGTCAAAAACAAGCAACATCTGCAAGAAAAATGCAAAAAAACTTTTTTCTCGATTTCGTCGCGTAATCAGCTGTTCATCGATCCTCACTCACTTGGGCGCCCGAAATTGTGCAGTTTTGGGAGTTCCGCACCGCATAAGAACTTCAGCTGCGATGTTTCATAAGTTACTCGGGAGCAATTTACAGAGGATTTCTCTGTGCTCTCCTCTTTAGCACAGTATTTACCCAACGTCGTCGCCCGGCTCACCTCCGATGACTCGGTCGGGAGCTGATCTCCCTGCCGGGCTTCATCTGAAGCTCACCTGTAGGGTGACCTTCCATACTTACACTATGGAAACGCGGGCAGTCCTCATCTCACCCAACAAACCTCATATGAGAGCCTCAGGGGAGATCATCTCCCGTGACCGAGCTTTACTACGGGCCAATGTGACCCACATGGTGGATCACGGCTGTGAGTTCATCAGAAAGATCTGCTGTTTACGGGAAAGAGTCATTCTAGGGGTTTTCCTACCCGCTGATTCCGAATATGACCTTCGCTGATTACGATAACTTCCCGGAAGGTTACGGTAGGTATACTGTAGGTTATTATTTGGGAGATTTTGACTGAAAAACGTTACTAGTGAAGTGACTATCCTGGTTTTCAATCGACATATCATTTTTTTACTTTAGTACATGCATATAGGTTTACGGCAGGCATACTGTAGGTAATCGTATGCCGAATTTTCGCCAAGAATTGGACTTAGTTAACCAAATCAAATATTGTTTATGCATAAAAAAAGTTAGCACCTCACTCAAAGAGATAGCATTCTGAAAAAGCACTTTCATAAAAAAATAACATTTTGAAAACAATTTGGCGGCACCTTTGCATAAACATATAATACTGATGCAATTATGTTAAATATACATCTTATTGGTGCCATAATAACAAACAACATCACAACCAATGGTAAATAAGAAAACATGAGCATACGTAGCTAGACGCAACATTCGCTATCTACAAAGAAAAACACTCAACATTTTTTATGCTTATTCTGAAAGCATTCCAAACAGAAATTTTTTTTGCATTTAGTACATCTAGTGGTAACTTTCCTAGGCCTTCTTGCTGCAAACGGAGATCCGTGACTTCGTACCAATTCCCTGTAACGCTTCACACACCGGTGCCTAGTCTTTTTGGTCCTGTAATCTCTTGCAATTTGTGTTTGCTCGTTGAAGGTTCGGTCGGTGCATTTAGCCAAGATCGGATCAAAGATTTTTTGAATTCGACCAGTCGCATCTTTATTTCATTAGACGTGTTGTAGAGATGCCAAGCATTGACAACTGCTGTTTGATCAAGGATGTGGAAGAATATTCTTTTGTACCACTTGGCAGTTTTCCTGATAAATGGATAGTATGCGGCCATTTGGTCGGAAATGTCGATGAAGGATTTTCCTGAGTTATAATCCGCGATGACAAAATGTTTTCCGGGGTCGTTGGCTGGGTTGTCATAAATTGTTGATAGCATAAACACATCTCGTTTGTCCTTCCATGATTCCTTTCTGACGCGCAATAGATTCTCCGCGTTTCAGTCTAGTTTAAGTCACAATTTTAGGCAGCCTTCGCCTATTTTTCTGATTGTGCCAACGAGGGTTGGTATTCCTCGCGAGTAGCTTCTCCGCCAGAGGAAGGCTTGTGACAATTATCAGTGTATAAGGTTCTGCCACAATCCAGAAGACCATCCATGAGCTTCACAGCGACATCTTCGGCTACACTTTCTTCTCTAGGTTGCTGCTGTTTCCCCGTATAATACTCATTTTATAAGTATATTCGCCTCTAGTGCATAGCTTGAAGATTTTTATTCCAAACTTGTGCCTTTTTTTGGGCATATACTGGCAAAACACGAACCTTTCCCTAAATGGAAACAAGGATTCGTCGATGCAAACTTCTTTTTGGCGCTCGTACACTCCTTGGAACCGTACATTCATTTCATCTACGAAGTTTTGAATTTTGTACAGCCTATTGCTTTTGTCAGCCGTTTCATTATCCGCGAAATGGATATCTGCCAAAAGATCTTCAAATCTGGTCCTTGCCATCATTTTAGCACCAATGAGTTACCTCCAAATACCACATCTGTAGACCAATAATCGCGGAGCGAAGGCAGTCTCACCACCCCCATTTGTATTGTCAAAGCAAAAAACATTTTTAGCTCAGACACTGATGTTTCTGACCAGAAAAATTTTTTTTGTTTGCCGTAACGATTTGTCTCCTCAGTAATGTAATCGAGTAAATCGTCATTAACAAAAAGCCGGTAGAAATCAATTGGATCTGTACAATCCGCCACAAAATCTGAATACATCTCGGAGGAAGTGGTGAAATATGCCTTCTAAAACGCTGAATATTTTGCATCCACACGTCCTCGACGTCTTCCGCGGTATCGTCCTCTTCCTTCTCGCCTTCATCCGTCTCTTATTCGAATAACTGATTCTGTTCTTCGGCAACAACTGAAGGACCTCCCTCTCCTTCATCACTGTCTATCAAAAATCGATCGAAGCTATCTTCTTCTTCAGCGTCCATGACAACGTAATGACCCAATTATGCGGGGCAAAATCGAACTCATTACGCGATAATTTTGGCCATTACGTGACAAATTTGAATACCATCTACGTGACAGATTAGGATATTTTTTTGTGGTCGTTTGCTCGAAATTTTCATGTATTATAACTGACATACTCAACAAACCCTCAACGATAAAATGGATCATCTCGTTGTAATGAACTTAAGCACCCTTAATGTGAAGATTATTCAGTGTTGCTGATGTTTTTAAAGGTACAAGCTTACTTTCAAAGCCTGATTAGAAGCATTTGCAGTTTCTCGAAATATTGGCTTACTGAAGCCCTACATACGGTTCAGTTACGATATTCGCAACCAGCGTGTTGAGTAACCTAACACCATCTCGGTTTACACGAAGAATTCACCCAGAATCATCATTGTCCCGAGTGGCAGACGAGCGAAAATGCGCGCTGTCGTCAACGTGTTAACGCGCGCCTTTAACCTCTCAACAAGTGCTTGAATGGAATATGTAGAAAGCGATGATATGATGGCAAGAGACTCCGAAACCGGTAGTCTACTTCTAGGAAAACATCGTCAAGATCGTTCTGCACAAGAAACAGCGCCATTAAACGCGCAGCTGTGCTGCGATAACTCTGAGTTTCGTGCGCGTTACAATCAGGGTCAAGCGTGTGATGCGACTATCGCAACGAGGGTAGTGAACGGGGCACCGGCGGTTGGGGGGGGGGGGGCGGCGTAAGAGAGGGTGGTCCGAATTAAAAAAAAAGTCTGGAATATAGGAAATAAGCTTTTCAGTCGCAAACATTTTCTTCTCTTCAAAAAACAGCATTTTCTTCCTGCAAAAAAGGTGTCGCAGACGGGGATCGAAGTTGCTGGCCACAAGTATGACCGAAGATTCCAAAGACACTTTCAGAAGCTCAAACACTAGGCATGCATGTGTGACAAGAATTTAAATGTTTCAGTTGGCCCAGAAATGGTTCCGAAACCACTGAAGTCTCACACTCTCGACAAAAAAGCTCATCCCTACCAGATAATTTCGATAATTTTTGAAACTTTTTTGTCATGTCTTTCAAGGTCCCATACAACTACCTGTACTTTGGAGATGCTCTGATACAGCTGTGCAAAATCTGGTCATATTCAAGGCCGGTGGATTTTTTAAATTTTAAATATGGCAACAAAAAATGAAAAACGAGTCGTATCTTGGTCGCATCTAAATTTTTTTCGAGCTTACTGCCCTATGTGGCTGCAAGTTTTACCTTCAATTGTCTGGGCACTGTACTACAAAAACCTGTTCATTGGGGCCTCTTAATCTTTTCCTGACTTTAGTTACGAAATTCTCAAAGTATCGTGCTCATGCACGTTTTTGACATCGCTGTGGATGGCGCTGAAACGGTTTTTTTCACAGGAAATTATGTGCAAAAGGTAGGAAATAAGCTTTTTAGTCGAAATATTAGGTTATCCCGAAAGTTTTGTCAGTTTTTTCCATCGCTCACTAAAACCCACAGAACACCAATTCATGGAAGATCTAGGTATCATTTGAAACAGATTTTCATCCTCTTTCTTACAGCTATATTTGCTCTCTGATCTACCCTGTCTTCGCAATGTTATCGCCATGGCTTTTTGAGCAGCTCAGCAGTAACCCCAAATCTTTTCTGAATTTTGAAAATTTTTCTCCTGCTACTTTCGAAAAGCGCTAATAACTGTTATGTAGAGCCATTCTTCGGCTACATTATACTTATTTTATTAGGTTGTAAAGAAAGTTCCCGGGCAGTTGCAAAATTTTTTTTCAAATCGCTGTAACTTCAAGCAGGTTGATTCTTTTTTGAAGCTACAAACTTCATTGCAAAGACAATTTTGTTCAAAACATATATTTGTCTTGCTAGCTTCTCAGCGCCTCACTGCGGTCCACCAGCATGCGCAGAAGGGAGAAAGGTCATAGCGAAAAGTGGCCTGTTTGTGCAGAATTATCTCAGGCATGATGAGAGCTGGAGAGCCCAGATGCTTTAGTTACATAGAGGTCTGCTGGAGGTGTTATGGGGACCATTCATGTTTTTGAAGGAGCACCTGCAAAAAAATTTTTCCCAGAAAGTTTGAAAAATAGGCCATTTTTTGCCCTTAAAAATGCACCATTTTTCGAGTAAGTGAGTTTGAAGTCTTCTAGTTCTGCACAAAAAGGACCAAATCTCTGGTTACTGGGAACATTGTTGGGGTAATGTCTTGCACATCTTTTGGACCCATTATCCAGGCGTGGCGATCCCCGCAGAAGCGACGCCAGCTGCGAAAAGAGTTGCGGTTAGAGGCAAGTTCGACAGCTTGTAATTTCTGAGCGCAAATCGCAAAACTCGAGTGCAGCTGCGGATCAGAAGTTAACAGGCTTCTCAAACAAATCACCCATGATTTGGACGAAATTCTTTGAATTGCACAAAAAAATGGCCGTAGGAAGAAAAATTGTGAAATTTTGTGGTTGGAAAGATTTCTCTTCTTGACGTGCAGATCAAACACGTCTTGACATCGATAATAGTCAGAAGGCTTGTTAAAAACTTCAGGCTTCCCCCTACTGAACAGTATAAAAAACTTGGTGTCAAAGTCCGACCGAGCGCCGAAAAAAAGCGTTTGAAAATGAAGTTTCCAAAAGTGCCCGGGAACTTTCTTTACAACCTAATAGATTACATGGGTCACGCTTATCACGTCCTAAATAATTATTTATTTAAAAAAACCACCGCTTTTTGATTACGTCTACCACGTAAAATCACCGATCGGATGTGTTTCATAATTAATGTTTATTAGCAATTAAGTTTCAATTCGCAAAAATTCCAGAAGCTTTTATGTTTTTGCCGCAGTTGCGTGTTCCATGGTTTTGCCAGAAATCGAGACCTCCGAAAAAAATAATTCTTTGAAGCTAGAAACAGCAACATAGGAGAATCTAAAAATATTACCGTATAGCCCGAGAACTGTTCTATTTGTGCCATGCTTAGTCCTTCCCAAAACTTTGGAATAAAATTTTTAAAAATTATCCCAACTTTGAGCAGATAAAAATGACGAGTGAAGATTTGTGGCAATTATCGAAAAAACCATACAGGATCTTGACTCCTGAATGTAACCATAAGAAAGAGAGGGAAAAGCTGCATCGAATGCATGTTGAAACTCATTCAGGTCTTCATTGTGCGTGGTTTTATAGTGGTTTGAAAAGACCGACAAAACTTTCGGGACAACCTAATATTTTACGCTTTAAAGATATCGTTTTTCTCCCTGTGGGAAATCGCTTATGAGGACGAAACACGAGACTATCATTACAGCCTAAAGTGTTCTAATTTCCAGAACTATTCTATCTTTCGGTACCACTGAAACATGAATGAAATATGTCAAACATTTATAAATGACAGGAAAATTTATTACCTGTCGCTAGAAAATGAGTTATTATAAAGTAATCACAATGTCTGAAGTGAACCGTTCCCTGAATTTTCTTGGTTGTTATTGGTAGCGGGGAGGGGGAGGGGTAGGGGTAGGTGAGGATATGTAGGATCGCAGCAACACGCTTGACCTTGGTTACAATCTATCGTCGAACTCAGAGACAACTCCGAGTTTGGTCAGAGAAAGAAAAATAGTGTACAAAAGAAGAGGAGCAGCTAAAAAGTCCTCCGGAGTACATTTTGGTCGTACTTTCAGCAGGCATGATGGGGGAGGGGCTATCGTGGTGCGCCGGTATCTACAACGTTTTGAAATCTTGTAGACCTTGGTTCAGGGGGTCATTCGGTGCGGTGACCGCGAATATGGTGCTCATTTTTCATTTTTCAGTTTGGGGTCATAAAGCCGTGCTACGGTAAGTTCAAAAATTTAAAGTCTAACTTTAAGTTTTAGAGTTTACTCAGTGACGCTCATGAATAAGATAGACGCTGTTGGAGAAAACCATCAAAATCTGGTAACCCTGGATAGCGAAAAATCGACAGCAGCTATCTACATACTGCGGAAAAAATGGCTCATCACGATTACTGTACAGACTACTGCGCCAGGACCACAAAACATATACACTCCCCACTGAAGGTTGTAGCTCGATAGAAACTCCTACAGTGACGTGCTATGCTTATGGAGTTCCATCATTCGACGTAGTCGAATATTCGACCACCGTCG